TGTAATAATAACAATAACAGACAACGAAAAAATCATGAAGTTTTGATTGAACATTTCGTTTCTTAAATAAAATGAGTAAAAACATTAAAAATGAGACCAATATACCAAAACTAAAACTAAATACTTACGATTTATATAAAAATACAATAGCATGCATTTACGTAGTGCATCCATATTTATAAACATGTGTATGCTTATTATTTGTTTTATTTATGTTTATAATCACTTCATTGTACAACTCACCAAATAACTTAAAAAAACAAAGATGCACTTTTTTGACGATTATTTTCATATGCCAGTAAACAAAGAAGGTACTGATATTCCATTACTTTGCACTGTGTATCACATGCACTGTGACATCGTAGTTTCCTCCATATAGTTAACGCTATGAATAAACAATTTCAACCTAGTCAAAAAATATTCTCAAGATAATATACTTCATTCACGAATAAATATGACATATATTTTGTTGGTGCGTTGTAAAACCAAACAAAACAAATCACTACTCAGCTGATTTCCATACAGTGCTATATTATACCATTACACAATAAAAAACGGATCTTTAAAGCATACTTGTAAGATAAGTGCAGTAACAATGTTAAACTATATGTACTAATAATTATTCACATTATACAATATATTTAACAGAAACAAAAATCGCAAACCTCGCCCATTATATTGTCAGGAAACAAATGAGATGGACTTAAAAGCATACGATCAGCACGATGTCTTCCACTTCTTTTATTCTCTCACATTAATACGATTCTAATAGAACAACCTGATGTCAAGTACAGGAAATGGATATCTTACTGGAACAGTTGTCAACCGGCTTTGATGAACATAAACATAATCGTAGTTCCAAAAATAACTTTGACAGTCAAGATAATGAATTTGTTTTCCCAATACTTTATTTTCTTGTAAAACACACGTTTCTTGTGTGACTGTTAATAAGGAACTGTATGGATGTTTTGACTTGAAATAATTAAATGGAAACACTTTACAATTAACAGCACTTATCAATGATCGTTCTGTAAGTTATGTAGTACTCATGTTGAAAACGAGTATCATTTTTTACTCTGTTTTCCTATTTATAGAGAGCTTCGTGAAAAATATTGTATAAACCATTCCTTCCTTACTTTGAATAAATTTTCTTTTCTTTTGGCAAGTTAAGATATTAGAAAAAATTTGAAATGATACAAAATTTACTTCATGTGCTAAGAAATTAAGAACAGAATTGCTTACAAATATGGCTACACTTTAAAACAGTTATATAATGATCTGTATAATTACTTTAAAATTATATAAGTATTGTTAAAATGATCTTTTGATGTATATATGCTTTAAAGTTATACATTTGTATTTATATCTTATATATTGCTATTGTCTTTGCCATCATGAAAGTTATTGTAAATGGCCTAAGGCCTTCTTTTCATGCCGATTTAGGCAAATAAACTGTATAAACTGTAATATATTTTCATTTTTATCAAATTTATTATAAAACTCGTTCGAGAAAAATCTATAACGCTGACCAGCGGCTAGCTTTATAGTAATTTCTTGAACATGTTTAATAAACTTTTTATATAATATGGCAACTAATGTGAGCTCCTGTACATGTACATAGTTAATTAGCTGAAAAGTCTTACCTGCATCTTCTTCCATAGATGTTTCACACGAAACTAAAGCTGACATTATAACGTTATATTATTCTCTTTAATTTCATTTAATGGAAACGTCCGCGGGTGGCGATTGTTGTTTTATGATAAACAATATTGAAACTTTTACGCTTGCTCTGAACTCGAGAATGTATGCTCATGCGAGCGTGTAACAAAATTACAGATTTTTGATGTTTTAAAGATTTTAATGTGCCTAGAATTCTGATATAGATATTTTAATTATGGTTCAACTCAGACAATGATCAAAGAAGTGAACAGAAACTTTTACTACTTGATATATATTTAGTATAAAATTATATTTATTTCCCCAATATATACACATTAACGCAAAGAATTATACAACAAATCCAATCATATTGTCAAACAAAAGGATGAGAAAGGAAGATAAAGTTTCATTACTTCAGTTAATTTAATATGTGTCGAATACTAGTAATCAGTGTCGTCATAAAATGACAACTTAATTGAGCTAAGAAATAGTAATATAATAAGTAGCGATACCAATTTAGTAATAATCATAGGGCTGCAAGCTCTGTGGTATAATCTAATTCGTACTATCTATATGTATGTGTTTTCCTGTATAAGTTTATTTTTATATACTATAATTCATCTTACAGGGCACCGAGGTGCAGCGACTGCGTTTAGAATTTTTACTATAACAGTTTGAGTTTGGTACATACGGAATTTTGCATGACTAGAGTTGCATCAAAAAATAATTTATGTCCATTTTTTTATGACAGCCACTCTTTATTCTTGCATATCGTGGCTACTTCTTTATAAAGAAAACTTTAAAAAAATAGTTGCACCTACTGGGATTTGAACTCCAGACCTCTCACACCCTAAGCAAGCGCGTTACCCCTGCACCATGGGCAAGTTTTACGAGAATGCCTGAATAAAATCAATAATTATAATTTTAGAATTTCCATTTCGTGTTTGTAATCCTTATTAATTGCGAGGTATTTTGTTCACGATAAACCTCTTGTTTAACACTGATGGACTCGGCCCGGTGAATTTTCGTATTCTTTGTTCTATAGTAAATCAGTCACATTTGAGGTTTAATTCTGGATTCCACTGTTTTTGATGAATTATATACTGTCTCCAACTTTAAACATTAACACTATCTAAGTCCAATGAAGCCCAAAATATAATAGGTTAGCCATCTACTTTTTTCAGAAATCTTCATTCTGTTGTAACACTTTAAAATTCACCACTTTAAAAACTGCTGGCCGGTAGTACATCTTTAATCCTTCCGCCAACAAATGAGTTCCTGGAGAATACACAAAAAAAACCTTTTAAAGTCATCATATAACACACAAAAACTACACACATGCAATAAATACACTTTAATTATGACCAATCTAACTAGAGATGACTTAAATTAGGCCACCACAAATCTTTAAAGAACTACTTGCTAGTCTACAACGGGATGGGTCCAATTCCGTACTGGGTTGAGACCTGATGTAAATAATTTAGCGAAAATCTACTCGCCAAAACAGTCCGACATGTATATATTCCACTCCTCGACAGTCAGATTTATTTGTGTAGTACTATGCTCTTTCGACATCGATAAAAATAGCATTTTCATTATTAAAAATGATATTCATCCTAGTAATTTGTGATTGTGCATTTATTGACAATTCTATGAGCCAACGCTACACTTAAACTTTTTAAAATGCATTGTAATTTGTTGCATAATTGTGACAAAATAAAAATACTTCTTTCTTTTTACATTGCTAGTTTAAAGCTGTTTTGAGAGCTACTTGTTGCTAGGTTTGTCGTGAAATTCTGTGTCAGAGATTGAATGTCAGCATTGTATTTCCTGATCTGCGATCAGAAAATACAATAAACCAGTAAATTTATGACTTCAACGCTGGCCAGAGGCTAGCTTTATAATAATTTCTTAAGCACGTTTGATATTTTTTAATATAATATGGCAACTGATGTGAGCTCCTGTACATGTACAGTGTTAATTAGCTGAAAAGTCTTACCTGCATCTTCTTCGGATTATTTTTTTTAATTATATTTTACAAATATTCTAGCATGTGTTAGAAACCAGACAATAATTACGTTGTGTAGAATACAAATCCGAATGCATAGCAACGGCAACGAATTACATCAAATGTTATATACATGTAAATACACAGATGAATACGAAATGAGTTTTCGTGGAAAGTAAATACATATTATGATTCTTCGTAAATAGTTCTTATTTAGAATCCTTGTAACACATTGTAAAGGTTTGAAATTAAAATTGTTGTGGGCAATAGAAAAACGATTGATGTTTTGTAGCAAACATAAGTTAACAAGGATTACTTGATTTTATCAAATTATAGACTAAATTGACTACTGTGTATGGATCACTACTTATTTCATTGTATGTATATACCAGTATATACGACGTTTGAACAACTGACATTATAGGGTCCACTTCATCAGCAGTTTTTTAAATTTGTCTTAATTCAAAATATCACCATTTGTTTTCTTAAATGTTGAATTCTGCTTAACCGGTGCTAGGGGGCGTAGACGGTAGCTTGCACTTACCAGTACCATTCTTGAACACGCTCAATCAAACCGAGCCTGCAACATTTTCAGTTTTGTCGTTCAGGACGTTCTTTAGGGATTGCATTTCTCTCTATATCATAATAAACACACTTTTTAAAAACAATAGTTGACGTAACATAATTGCGTAAAATATGTTTTCATATCCGATAGCATCTATCGCTAAGGAATTATTTACGAAACATTTGGCCCAGTTAAATGTTACCTTGATAAATGCAAAACGTATTATCACGTGCTGAAATAAATACATGCACTTGAATTCGTAGTTGATTTTCCATCCATTCTATGACATAATATTTTAGCCCCTGGTCTAAATATTATCTAAATATAAATGAGTTTGATAAAAACTACCTAACAATAATAGGTATAATAGCGTAAAACATTGAACACGCATAATAGGTATTTTTATACTACCTGCTTTAAAGAAATGTTAAATCAATATTTTATACAGAAGGTCAACTTTGTATGATTATCCCTATGGTAATTATAATTGTGGAAACTAGAAGAAAATACATGACAATATGTTAAAAAAACGTATGAAACATGATGATATGAGATCATGAATAAATATATACAATGGATGTTTTGGATAAATATAAATAAATTTCAAATATAGTTAAATTTTCAATTTACAATGACGTGATAAAATAGTTTTGATCGGCTTGATACGTATCGTATTAGCTAATCGAGTATAATATACTTGTCGTGGACATCGGAAATTAATGAAGACTGCGTAGAAAAGTATAAATGTTCAAACTTAGCGTATTTAATCGTACTTAATTTTATCTTATTTATGCGCAGTGCAGAATATAGGTGGGAGAATCCAAAGAATAAGTGTATATTAACGCTGGACAACTTATAGAGTGACAATTTATCTGATAACTACATGTGTTTATGAGCGAATAAGTATAAAAGGTTTGTACATAATGAGAAATATATATGTAGAAATATACATGTACGAGGACATTGGAACATTTCTTAATATAATTTATCGTCGTAACAATTACTGCGTTGCTTACATTGTAATGTTAATATGGGGTTTATTGGTTGAAAATTCAAAGAACTGTATTATATGTTAAATAATATTATATGTCACAGGTTGAGAAAATGTGCAGTCTGACCGGGACTCGGGCCCAGGGCATTCGGAATACTGTTCCGCGGCTTTACCGACTGAGATAATGGGCCGCTTACCCATCTTCTCCCATTTATTGTAAAACATATATTTTGAAATTGTTTTTCAAATAGATGAGAAGCAAAATGATGCGAAAAGTAAAAGATATGGACACAAGTGAAAAAGTGATGTTAATCTTAATGGCAGTCATAATGTCGCTGGTTTTAACCATCGTGACAAAGGAAATCATCATGCAGCACGGGAAAAAGCACAGCATGTCCATGACAGATGTTAAGGTAACGTTCACACTTTAATAACAAACCGTTCTTATGAAACATGTTAAAATTGTTCGTATTTTACCAGATTGGTAAAACATGTTCATATTGGGAATTTGTGATTAGCATTTCTATTTGTAACGCCGATGTAATCCTTTTTTCTTGGTTTCCCAAACAATTCAAAATACATATGTTATTGGCTTTTCTACTGGTTGTTTCAAGACATTTTAAAAAGTTAACTATTATACTTTTTATGTTTTAAAGGAAAGCACACCAAAAACACAAGAAGTGACACTTAACCATATACTAAATGCACAAAATGGGGTGACATCTTATCTAGGTAAGTTATTTTAAACACATGACGTAATATAGATAGTTGTAGAGTTATATCAACTATATATTAGTAACATGAGCACAATAATACAATTTACGCAATTATTACGACAGCTTTGAAAAGATAAAAGAAAATTCAAATATATTAAAATGGAAATGGGAAATTAAAAAAGTAATACATGACAATAATATCAATAGTTATAATCTTAGTTTAAAGATACTAGTTTTGTAACGACAGTAATAACAAATGGAACTTTATTTGAACCAATCTAGGACTTCTGTGAATGCAGTAGACCCGTTGTAGTATCCTTACTACTTTCAACGAAAGTGGCTTTATTCATACATCATTGAAAGCGTATTGCCATTTTTATACAGCAATGAATGCATATTGCCTTTTCTGTAGGTACAACGGTTCACAATGATCAACAGCAAGACACCATTGCAACACGCAAGGAAGAAACTTTGCCTATCCTCGTGTCATACATGTTACATTATAATAAATTGAAACATGTTTTGAAACATGATCGGAAAAATACTACCCATCTTCCCCAAGCTGCAATAACACGTCATAAGACATTGAAAAGAAAACCGCTTCAGCGAAGGAAGACATCATTGCTTGGTACACTGAAGCAACAAAAAGCTGATGATATAAACGATCCAGATATCCGGTATGTATTTATTACATGTTGTATGCGTTTGTTTGAACTGCTTTTTTAAAACATGTTCATAGCTGTCTAAAGGCGTAGTTTGGCAGATGTCAGCTATACACATATCATTTCCATGTTGAATTTAAAGCTACCCAAATTAAAGATTCATTACTGGTCTTTTAAAATGTAAAGATGTCAAATTATTCAACTGTACTTCCAATTAAGAAATGACTTTGTTTTATTAAAATGTTCTAAGTAGATGTATGTGAATGTGTTATTTAAGATGAGACTGAAATAAATATTAATTGAACTGACTTGAGTCATAAAACATACAAAATTAACTCGGCTGTTGCATTTGCGTGTTTGGTTTAAAGGGTTTCGTAAATCCATCACGCAGAAATGACATAAACTTTTTGTTTTACTTTACAGTGTTTCATAGCAAACATGAATACTACGGTAAAGATACGGACGAGTGAAAACATGGAAACTTCAACTGACAAAACAATGGGGATACAAAAGGAGTATCTTGATATGGAACTTGTATTTATCTTAACTAGTTTTTATTAGGCTAAGATCTTTGAAGCGCCTTGTGATCCATTCTAATTACATATATGAAATCAAATACAAACAATTAATCGAGATACCCAATGATTTGTATCATATACCTTCTTATGTTCAAACAAATCATAACGTAATGATATCACATCAACATCGTTACTATTTTCTTCCTGTTGGATTGTATTACATATGTTATAAATTAAACAAAGCAAATATGTACATGTACACACCTCGTTAGATCCCAGCCTAGTATCATCTATTCGAGTCAAATATAAGGTGCAAATACAGCTACTCCTATTGTATAACCATTTCATATCTATCACATTTGTCATAGGTAAAACGATAGATACAATTGGAATAGAATTTGGCATGAAGACATAATGTGTTTTTGCAGTACAAATTTACATAACGAGTATAAGGGGTGATTTTTAAAAATACACAAATATATACCACCTTTTTTTAATTCATGTAATAGCTAACAAGTGAAATAATATCATTGTAATTTATATGGTTAATTGAAATTGTTACATTTTAAACAGAAGTGCCGCTACTTTAAACAACGTTTAGGTAAAGACAGTGGTGATTAATCTTAGGTCAAGGCAGGTGTAGGTGTTATTGAGAGATAATGCCAGGAAAGGAAAGAGCGAAGCTGCTAAATTTATGTGAATCTGTGATATACTAGTATACCTGATGGGAACCTGCAATACATTTGTTTCAATTTTTTTTTACCATTATGTTTTGAATTTCTTTTTTATGTGTTCGTCTGACCAATCTTTAGTCCAAATATGATCTCACCGTGTTATTTATTGTCTTATATTAGTATAAATTAATAATAAGTTGTATGAAAAGAAGGATTTATGACAATTGTATGACAAGCTAGACTTCTTTCATTTTTCAATATCGTACACATTGTATATCTGTTCCTGTTATTTACTTTGTAAATATTTTAAAATATTTTGCTCAAATGGCTCTTGTCATTACAAGTTATTGTGGATAAAAGTTTACAGTAATAAAGTTCTGGAAGCATAGTCCTCCTTTATGTCGTTTTGAAAGTTTATATACAGGTAATAGACTGAAAATATTCATTTGAAAGTATTTTGATATTTATATAAAATTGATTGTTTTTTGGTTTCATTTGTTATTACTATAGTTAATAAACTTATAATATATAAACACTGTTTTGATAATTGTCTTTTGATAGTTTAAAGGTTTTTTAAAATATATTTCAAATATATTTGAATTATGACATATTGGCAATGCAGCACGTGTCAATAGATATTTTCTGTTATACAGATTGTTTGTTTGTCAGATGTGTACGCCGAATTTATGACATTTTTGGTCATAGCTTGGCGGACGGTTCACCTAGCGTAGCAGGGTTTCCTGAATGTCTAACCAGAAATTATCAATTTCGCCACAAGAGACAGATTATAAATCTGCAGTGAGAAACAAATGATCATTAAAACAATGAGATATATTGCCATTGAGAAATTTCGCCTCGCCCGAGAATCGATCCAACAGGCCACTGGTTTGTAAATCTGATGTTCTCCCTATTGAGCCTATTAAAATATTCAAAAATACGTTTACAACAATATTTTTACACGTAAGGATCTATGTTGTTTTAGCCAGTAAAACGGAACATAGATAATACACATTTCATGATCATTAACAAACTCAAATAACTACGTTTGCATTTTCTTTAATGTCAGAATTTGTTAATTTGATATGTGTAAGGATAAGATAAAATGATTGGTGTAGATGTTTATCTTTCATACAATTATTATTTTACACTGTTTAATAAAGAAAGAATAAGACAAAGAATAGAAAAGAATATTCATATGTCTTACATTAAAATACATCATCACATAAAAAGCACATTAAGCCCCAGAAATGAATATATTCTTCATCCTTAAGAAAGAGCAAGCATGTTTTATTATATTGTTATAATTGATTTGGAGCACGTTAGATATGTATTACTCTGATGTGAAATCATTTGCCATAGACGTAACAAAATAGTAAGTTGACTTTTATACAAAATACTTAATAACTGTGACTGAACTATATATAAGGTATTTAAGAGCGTAAAGTAAAATGGAAACTATCAAAGCATTAAATACATGTAATACTTTATCTTTTATTTTGACAAATGCTAGCGTATATAAAACTTGAATGTGATTTACAGTATGTGATGTATTCATTTATTTCACACCTTTTAACATTTTTAGATTTTATTCTTAATCATAACCTCATCTATTAATCTCATCTATCATCAATACATTCACATGAGGCAAAGGTTAAAATACCATACAAAGCAGTATATAGGCATTCTTTATAGAATTACCAGTTACGAAGAGGGATAACTCCACAGTACATATTACCGTAGTGCATATGTGCTGCAGATTGTTCTCCCTTATTTATACAGTTTATTTCTAATAATTTGACTCAGTGAAAAGTTAAAAGAATCATACATTAAACATAATGTTGGAAGGTGATAATTTGAAAACAGCACTTTTGTGACAATCGATAAAAACTGTTTACAATTATTATTGGTTTCATAACGAAAAAAAAACAAACAACAACGACAAAATAAAAAAAATAAAACAAACAAAACCAAAACAACAACAACAACAACAAAAACAAAAATCCCAAAAACAACAACAACAACAACAAATAAATAAAAAAACCTTTATGAAATTATTAAAGCACAGTAGGGATGAAAATATCTAATATCTAATATAGTATTTTCAGATAAATTTTAAAGATCCTGTAACTCAAAATTTTTATGGTTTTATATTATAAATATGATGCTCAAATTAAGATTTATCAATTTTGTAAGTTTCAAAAGGCATTATTTATAAAGATATTACCGAATTTAACATTTCATGTAAATAAAAGGAGGTAATGAAAATTATTTTCTATAAAGTAACTTGACCAGAAATTCATTATTTAATATATTATTACCCTAAATATACTCGACTTATCCTAAATATACTCAACTAATCTAACAGTAAATTCATTATTTTTTGAGTTGTGGAAAAATGTCATGTTGCTTAATCTTATAGAAAGCTTGTCTCCTGCCTCCATTTTGACTAATGAAGATACTTGACTTCCACCCACGTACAAGCTTTCATTGTCTATTACCAGATATGTTTCAATGTTAGACATAACCTCCGTGTCCTCTTTTTCTAGCTTGCATGAACGAAATATACTGTGTTTGATTTGTACTCTGAAATCCGTAGCACTAAACACTCCGTTTGAAAAGTCAGGTGGTACCACAAATTCAATAAATGAATGCACAAAATAACGACCATTCAAAGGAACTGTGATATGTCCATTTGTGTACGACATGTGGTTAGACCTAAATTCTCCATGTTCAAGCATATCTTTGTCAGGTTGCCATTCCCTTATAAGTGTCATCCCGTCCTCTTTTTTATCTAATAAAATAAATGGATTGTTTTTACAGACACTTAAATTCAATAAATATAAATAATTATGAGTTAAATATTTGTCGATTTGTGATATATAAAACTTACAACTTAAAACTTTGTACAAAAATAATGAAAGATTCAGTAAGAGAAGACAACATTGCACTTGAGTTTGATACAAAAGTTGAACAAAAAGTAGACTGGTTTACCATAGTTTTTATTTGGCAGTTCTGTTCCAATAAGTTTGATAAATATCATTTGATTTCGAACTTCATTTTCTGCAAGGCGGCTGTGTTTTTCTAATTCATCTTGTTTTTCCTGGACAACCTTCAAAAACCAATAGTAACACTAAGATCGTAATACGAAATGCAGATGATATATGTCAAAATTTTTCGATCATGTCACGTGACTATATGCAGTTATTTAGTAAAGTATAGTACATGTAATTAAGTACATTGCAAAGTCACTATCATGTATGTCAGGTTCATCGTAAGATAAATATTACAACAATCATTAATTGAACATATTTAACGTTTTTGAATAATTGTATCCATATTAGAGTTAAATAAAAACGTACTAAAATACAATATTTAAGTTTGACAAAGTTACGCATGGGCACTGAGTAGCCCGCCTCCAGATCCATGCTAATTTTCATGAAAATTTTGAAAATGTATTTGAATGTGTAAAATTGTGAAGTAACCAAAAGATAGCAATTAACACATTATCAATAGCACTTACACTCCACGTAAATTACCAAAAAGTGATCAAAATATGCACAAAACGCTTTACTGCGTTAGAAACGTAGTAGAAATATAATTGTCGATACTGAAAAATCGGTCGTTAATCGCACATAATATGTTAAATATTACTTTAATCTTGAAGTCTTTACTTTTCCTTACATCTTAGTGTATTTTTCTAAAGTTTGATTTTATTGAAATATTTTGACTCATCTGGAGGCATGTAGCTTACAATTCAGATTCATATCAAAAATATTTTTCAAATCTGTTCATCTATCATGATTTCATACTCATTATAATAACGTCGATATTACATTGCATTTCAACATGATAAAATGCATTGCATTTCTTTTAGATGTTTAGTATGATAATGATATACTCACCCTTTCAACATACTCCGTAATCTTTATTTCTAAAGGTCCACACTGAAGTGTTCCGAGCTTATCCGTTAAACACATATTGTTTGTTCTTGGTGTTATTGTTGGTCTAGATACTTTCCATAACAGAGTCAAAACAGCACACACCAACACTACAAATGTCAGTCCGCTCACTAGAATGACCTTCATATTCATTCTTAATTCTACTCCAAGGCGTGGCACCACTTAATCTAAAGCTAAAAATCAAATTAAATCTGATTGGCTTATACAGTAACTGGTTTATCTACTTTACGGAAATAAACAAACTGTAGTGCTATACTACCAATAGATATGATAAAATACTATTGCATCATCGAAAAGAAAGATGATCATTTCAATCAAAAGAAATGTGAATGGGACAAGTAATTTTAAATCTAATGCGACAAATACTGATATGAAATGAAGTTGATTTACAAGTTAAAATTTAACAGACTTTTCTTCACTTAATGTATTTGATTATAAGCGTATTTGGTATCTCGAGCGCCCAATATAAGGTTTTATGGAATCTGGAATCTTTTTACAAAACTATTTAAAAGGAAATAATGGAAAAAAAATAACAATCCACGTCTAGATTTCTTTTTTTTTTCATTGTGAATTATTTCAATTGAAAATTTAAGTGTAAACAAACAGACAAACTATTACCAGATATTAGGACAATTCAGAACAGTGGGAGCTTATCAATTTTTTTATTGTGAATGGAGACACTTAAGTCAAGAATGTATTTAAATTTCACTAACTTAAAGGTTATTGTTTGAACCAACATGTAAAGATTTATATACCGGTGTTCCGTAGGTTTGCTGAATAGTTAATCACATGAAAGAACCAAAGTCACTGACGGGATTTGAAACCACAGTTGTGAGGGGTAAGTGGTTTGAAATCACTCGACCGTGGACACTCCTAAATTTATTAAAAATTGGTATAGAAAGTTCATAGGGACCTCTATATCAAATAATAATTGACAACGATTAAGACACAGTAATTTGATAGGTTGTGCTAACTGTTATAGTTGTGTACCTGACTACCCAAAATGTTTGTTTTAGTAACAGGAAAAGCGAATTCTATTATTATCGTTTAGGTAAAAGAATTAAATACATCAGCTTTTATGACATAACAAAATGACAAGGTTTATGCAAATATATTGAAGTTTTTATCACAATTACAGTGTGTTTTTAACAGTATGATTGTCATCATTTTGCAATGCCAAATAATGCTTTGACAATTATATCTTATAACAAATATTCATTAGGGATTGTACAAAAATGTATATCAACATTTAAAAGAAACAAAATTACATACTGTAAGGTTTTGTAACATTCTTTATGTTAGACATAGGTTTAATAATCGCAAATCTCCTCATTAAATTGTATCATTATATCCTCTTAATGTGCAACATGATATTAATGTTATAATCTAATAGTATGTATGTAACATCAAATGATGCCTGTATGTAAAATACAATTACAATGTTTAGAATTAAAACATTTTATCTGGATTGCTTCCCTTGCAACGTGCGAACAAAAGTTTTGTTATTCATCTACAATTAATCTGTCGACACTTGTGTATCATTGAATTAATAGGCTAATGTTTCATCATATAGTATAAGGTGTTTCAGCTACAACACACGCTTTTTGTTTTTAGTTTTGGAACGTGTAACCTATATGAATGAAATGATGATGACGATGATGATAAAATTGACAATTTCGATTACTATGACGACGATGACGATAATAATATGGTGATGATGATGATGATGATACCTTATAGGTGTGTTGATGAATCTAATAATGATGATAAGTAGGGCACTGGTAAAAATAATGAAAATATTTTGAAATAGTGGCAGTGCGAGAAACAATCATTCGGACATCAAATCTCCTCATTAAATTGTACCATTATAATTATTCTCTTAATGCGCAACATGATAGAAATGTTATAATCTGATAGTATGTATATAACAACATTTAATATGTTTACATTTATGTATGATACAATTACAATATTTAGAATTAAAACATTTTACCTGGATTGCTTCCCTTACAACGTGCGAACAAAAGTTTTGTTATTCATCTTCGCACTTGTGTTATTGACGTAATAGGATAATGTTTCGTCATATAATATAAGGTGTTTCAGCTACAACACATGCCTAAAATACAATACATGTACTTATATGCATATCAATACTAAAACAACCAGGTTGATGTGATATTGGATACAAACATGTCTTTCAAATGTTGGTTTATTAGGGGTTTCGTCAATGTGAACCTTAAACATTCACTCGAATTATTTATAGACCAATGCATGTTAGCTATATCGATTTGAAGGGAAAAAAAGACAATTTTTGTGCGTTTAAAATCAAATGTGCGTATAATACACAAAGTTTGAAGTAAATTACTCTTTAATTGTATGAAAGGGTGGAAGAGTTTTTCTCTTTTCAAACGTATAAGAAAGTCGCACTTTATATCAGCCTTAATATACCAGCAGTTTACAAAATTGTGGACACTCATTTACCATGTCATAAACATTTATAAATTATGATGTATATAAATAGGGATGTATCCTTTCTGTTGAAAATGTGTAAGATTTAAAATCGCACATTGCGTTAACTGACGCACAGGTATTATAGTTACATGCACTCCAGAGCATGCCCATTGATTAGCTCATTTTTTGCTGGGGTTTACTTGTGACGGCAGAGAAAGAGAAAGCGATAGAAATATAATCAGATGCTCGTTGATTGGTTACTTTTTCCTAGGGTTTTATATTGCAACAACAGGGAATGTGTTTTTATGTTTGACTATGATACAAAAGAGAAAGAACATCAAAACACTCAGCAGTCTGATTAATACTCTGGGTCTACGGCCCCTCGTACAAATCAGATAGCCTCGTGTTTCGATGCTCTTTCTATTACATGGTTCAAACAACTTCTCAGTACGGTAATGTTCGAGCCACACAAGCGTCGGCGGATTCTAAATGATCATTAGAGGTTACAGAAAGTCGTTTGTTCTAGTCAGATGCCCGTTTGTATCTGCAATAAATAATTTTGATAATTCTTCCTACACTAGTAAAGCTGGAATGTCGCCATATGACCTATTTTCTGTTTTGTACGACGTAAAATACAAGATCAAAAATAATAATGTATATCTGTAAAAACAGACTTTATCACGCACACTCGAAAGAGATAAGGTCAAGGAAATTCGCTTTTTCAAAAATAAATATAATCCGCTCTTATAATTACTTAATTAGGAAATGATCTTTACAATAAGATCTTTTGTTAGAAAGTAAAACGTAATTGATTCCACTTAAAACGTTTCTGATTATAACCTGGATAAAGTTTTAGTAGGTCAAGAATTGTAAATCATAATTATATCAGTTATGCGACTAAAATGGTAACGTAAAACCTTTTTCGTTTTGTACATGTTTAGTTTATGATGCCTTCAAAATTCACAATTGGACATGTGTGTATAAGTGTTTTGACAGTTTCATCTGTGTTTATACTCGGGCTTAACATCGTTTTATATATAGTAAAAACTGAAGAAGATCAATTAATTAATTCAGGATATTTCATAAAAGAAATTCAGAATTTTGCATATTTCTGTGACGACTTGTCATTGAGTCCGGATGAAGATGACGTCACGTTTAAAGTGAGAAAGAAACTTTTTGACGTCTACCTACTGAAGAATAGATACGTCTGTAGCTTCCGGAACCTTACAGAGCCACTGCAAAAGGTTACTTGAGATGCCTTTCCTTTGTTTTTTTTTAAACAGCGAAAAATCATCAATGTCGATTTAAAAATTAGATTTGAATATATGTTGTAAGGAACGAAATACTTACTTGCAATTTTTTATTAAAGGTAAAATTTGTTCAACGTCGTGCACTTCCATGACATATTTTGATAATTCAGAACAACGTTTCATTTCATTGTAAAAAAGAAATTCAAGGAATATTAACATAAATTTTTATGATAATTACAGTTTGTAGAAAAGAAATCACGAATACGGCTTGCTTCAGGTATTATGACTTCTTTTCAAAATGCTAATAGTAAATAATTTCAAAATATTATTTTCAAGATATTGATAAAACGATCAATGAATTAAAAATCTGGTGCCGTAATTATGTTACTGTAAAATATTTTATTGCTTTTGTTGTTTTATTTTAATACCCTTCGGTTGATATTGCTTATTTAAATTGCAGACGGGAAGGAAAGCCTCTTAAAATTATCTAAGAACTTATTTTGTGGAACCCCAAAAATATATATATATATAATTGATGTTATGTATGATTAAACGAATAATTGATACTTTTATTTGCTGTAATATTTTAAGATCTACCTTTAAATATTTTGCTGCATTATATTTTTTTTTATTTTGATCAGGACAGGAAGGTAAAAGATATTTACAGTGTGGCAACACAAGTTTAAGAGAGCCTTCGGGTCGCCGAACTGCAGCATTCAGAAGTTTGTCAAAACACCAAACCTACAAAGGTTCCTCTCTTTGTTATCGCCATTATAATCTAACTGATCCATTTTTTAAAATGATTCTAAATTTTGATTACAGTATGGTTTTAAAATAATTTGCAAAGATAAGTATACATACATATCGATATTCACAAATCTAATTGGTACAAAACCACTAAGTTCACATAAATATAATGTAGATGACTTCTGAACGTTTTCACGCTGATAACATTTCATCAGTTCCTGAATAACACTCGCATTAGGATCGGACGACCACCAACAGGTTGTCACAATTTCGTGACCTTTCAAACAGCCAATCATTGGTGAGCTTTCACAATTTTGAAAGCGATGCGGATTCTAATTTTAATCGCTGGAAAACCAATACTGAGTAGATAATTTTCACGATTTCGAGAATAAACCTGTCTTTTTCCATTGTGGCAGGGAAACTGGCATAACAAGCTGGCCAATTAAAATTGAGTTTGTTATTTCTAGTTAATTTGTTTTAAATTTCTTCTTTTTTCTTATTAAATCAAAAATTGTGTTACTTCCACGGACAATGAAATTTTGATACTTCGACAAATACATATTTGTAAAAGACGCTTTGATTGCATGGTTGAAAATAGCTTTCTCAGGAAATCCAAAACACAATGAAAGCAAAGCATATACGGCGGCAATAAGATCTACATGTAAGAAATAAGTAAATCTGAGCTTCAGTAAGATTGGAACACTTATTTGCAGTGATTTAATAATCATTCGCAAACGCTTCAAACATCCCCCAAACCCCGGATTCAGTCCGATAAACTCGGCAAGGTATATTGTGGGCATTATTTCTTCAATGTTTGATGGAAAGCATACTCATATATTTTCATTTTGTTGAAATAAAATGATTTGAATCCCGTTCAATGATTTCTTTTCTTTTTATCAAGTTGGAGAATCGAATGCTGTCATAAACTGGGACAAACACCCAGAGCGATCTTTTATATCTGAAGATGTCGAATACCATAAAGGAGAAATCAAAGTATCCGAAGGTGGATTTTATTTCATCTATACAACTGTTATGATGAATCTAACTAAACCTATGGTGAACCTCGGTGAAATGTGCAGATTTGCTCTATATGTTTGTGCAAACAGGAAAGGGTACGAGCGTATTCTTCTTAGTTCATTCAAATCATTCAACACATCATGTACAAATGACATTACTAATAACAAAATGAACGACGCCACATCGCTGTCAACTCGAGGCAATGTTTATGTCACAAAAGGCGAGTCTGTTTATGTCAAAGTATCGGGCGCGAACAGAATAATCCTTGAATCTGTCGGAAACACGTTCGGAATAATGCCATTGTCATAAATTTATGAAGAAAGGCATAGTAAACATAACATATTAATAATCTTGATGCGTTTTCGAATTCAGGCATTCTTAAAAGCAGGGCAATGACAAGATAAACCAAGTACACTATACGGGTACTATTTTAGACATGAGACGTTTACTCCTGTAAAGTTAGCAAACTACACTACAAAGTCGATTTCAAAAATTATCTTAGTCTTATCTGTCCGCCACAGAAAGCATGATAACGAGGCTCCAAAATGCGCAAATATACGATGATTGGTTAGCAGAAATGTAACATAACAAACCCCTTTTCGCCTCTGACGTTTTAGAACGTTGCAATACCATAAAAACCATAAAAAACGTGTGAAAAAGTAGGGACAATGAATATTTGCTGGAATATCCTTGCTGTCCTTTACTTTTACCTTTTTAAGATCAAGTTATTTCAGTAAATAAGTTGCATTATCTTAACATGAGTGCTTTGAAAAAATTAGAAACCAATAAACTAGCGCAACCTAACCAGTCACGTATGATCTATCAAGGAAAAAAGAAATAAGATTGACATTAAAGTCACATTAAAATTTTCAATGACTGCATCAATTACCTTCGAATATATGTAAGCATGAGATAAACGAGATATTTTCAAGAACAAACAATAGAATGCAAGTCAGAATATATGACAAAGGAACGTGCAACAATGTAAATACCTATATATTGTAGAGTGTATATCAATATAACAGTTTAATTAAATCATGATCCCTCTTTCCTCTTTATATAAATAATGTAACTACGTCAATTTTATCCAAATCAAACAATATTCATATCTATATTTTACGTTAATTTATGAATTTGTACAAATTGTCGAAAATGAATATAATTTCCTTTGGTTTGTCCCACGCAAATAGAACTGAGAAATATATATCTAAAACATAATTACTGTAGATGACCTCCATTAATACAATTTGAAATTTTTCTATCACCTAAAGGAAATATGTCCATTTTGTAAATATATTTCCCGTGCTAATCTTTTTTATTAGTATTTGAACTTGTATCACTATAATAATGCTTATGGTATATAATATATAATGCTGTTGTAACATTTATGACAATAAAAATGTTGTTGTTGTTTTTCTCATTCATGTTTATTTGTTTGTTTTACTCTCTAATTCTGTTATACATGTATATATGAAAACTATATTCTGTATTTTCGGTTGTTAAGTGTCATGCAACTATTATATATGTATAAAATGCATTAAGGATGTACTTTATGCGATGTGTAATTTTGCACTGTCTATACATGGCGACTTTATTTGTGAAATTTTAAATACGTTTGGTCAAAGTAATGAATAGTTTAAAACCGATTGGGAAGGTACTTTATGTCTTTGCAGAAGATAAATACCACAAAATATGTTTGTAGAATCCCAGCGAACATAATGCAAAACACATACATACACGCGCGCGCGCACACACACACACATTTTAAGCAGCCACAAATAGCTTAAAAGTCAAATAGCAGTAAAGAAACTCTATAGAATCAAAGTGCTGCAGCACTGAATGCGACAGACATGCAACCGGAGAGACATTAAGGCTTTTTTTTAGAAAAAAAACAAAAACAAAAACAAAACACAAAATATATAACAGAGAAAATTTGTTCCATACAAGTTCGAGATTTGTAGAGCAATATATTTTGTGTCCCAAACTGATATAATTCAGATTTTCTACTTTCAAGCACTTAAATACAGAATGAACTTTATGCCTAAAAACTCTGGTCAAACTTGTATATCAGTGTTCTTATCGATTTATTCAAAGAAATATTTCTAAAATAAAACCATGCAAATAAACTTCAAGCATAATACATTATACATTTGAGAATGCTATTTAGAATTGCTTCTTGTTATATCATAGTGGGCATATAGACAATAAAATATAAGTCATTTGTATTTTTATTTCTCTTGGATATGTCTCATTAAAAAAGTTTTAGTTAAAATCATCAGCAATTAATAGATCTAGTGTATTTTTTATATTTTTTTTATTTACAAGGTAAAGATGTAGAGGCCAGAGCACATCGTTTTTATTTTAATTTAAATGTCACTTAAGCACTACTGTGTTTAGTTGTCCTTTTCAATTTCACACTAAATTCCATTTTCAACTTGTTTGCTTCCAACAATTGTATAGAATTTCTTAAAGTATTGCATGTAATCCGCTGGTTTATTACATGTATAATGTGTACTCCCTAATCGCCTGTCCAAAAATCAGGCCAGGTGAAGCAGAATCTATTTTTAGAATAACGTGACCTAGAAAAATATGTAAACAAACCACAAGAATCGGAAGTAGAACTTATATTATATGAAAGACTACATGGTGGTAAAGGGTTGAAAAACTCTCTTCTTACATGCATTTTCAAAAATAGATATTTATACTAACCATTGTACTGTATCTAATTTATTAATAACTGCTGAATATTCAGCTAAACCCGCGGTATGAGTCACGAAAATAGTTCTTCTTTTATTAATGCGCGAGTTATCCTAGAGTCACGAAAAACTTTTGATTTGTTAATAATAATGTTTTGTATAAAGTAGAAATATTTATTTCCTACTAATAATGTCTTGGAACTCAGAGCTTACACCTTTATTGTAGTATAATTTGCTGTCCTACTTTTTCGACAGCAGTAAATCGTTTCGGCAGTAATTTGCATATTGCGCAATAATACTACGGGACTACAACGTTTTAATCAATAATATACGTTCATATTTTAACTTGGATAACTTAATTTGAAATTGAAAAGGCTAAATATGGAAGATTTTAAGATATCCCGACAAAGTATGGGAGTTTTGAAGGATCAAATTCATGTACTATTTCTTGGGCTGTTAATCGGTTTAGGACACTTTGCGCGATTGTAGCCGACGAAATCCCATGTGTAGATGACTTAGCTCTGAACGCGCCTGAGGGCGCGTCCGTCGCAAAAACCTGTTGTTTCCCAAAGATAAATCATAAACGACTTAGTTAAGATTGCTGATCCTCTTAAATCATTTAAAATTACCCTGTAAACAGTGCTTACATCTATACAAAATAAAGATAAATAGAATGGAATCCTAAAGGAAAACATAGATGAGTAAAAGTTCAATAGTTACAGGTTTAGTTTGACAGATACGGCAACAGTAAATGCAAGCTACTGTTGAAAAACATGCCTAAGCAGAACGCAACAATTAAACACGAACATATTTTTTTAGATGTAAAAAGCAAGCAACATATCCTGCGGGATATAAGTCAGTATTCATGTAGTAATACTGGAATCATTCTACAAGAAAAGGATTAAATGCATTTAACTATATGTATACGATCTTCAAGATTTAGAAATACATCCCAAGACCACAGGTGGTCGGCGTGTTGTATGACACATATAATTTAGTAAAGGTATGCAACTGGTCGCCGCTCATTTTTCAGCACTCATCTTAATGTGACATGATCAATGAAATACTCCGTACGATAATAAAGAGGAGCAATCTGCTGCAGCGGTTACTTTCATTACGATTGAGGATTTGACTTATCAGATAAAGGTTCGATATAGTTTCATATGATGAATTGATTGTACAGTTATTGCAAATAATAATTTATTTAATAATATTTAAATGCGCAATACAAAGAAATATTCATTCAATTCGAATAAAACTGTTCCGTTCACAGGTGGCAGTATCAGTGTTTGGACACCCCACCCCTATCTGCCCCTGGACCCCTACTACAACCCTGAAAAAAAATTCAACACTCTAAGGCTTACTAAAAGGTACCAAATACAAAACCACCGATGAAATTATATTAAAAAAAAAAATTTTCCACTATCAAAATTATAGTTATAGAAAGGTGAAAAGCCTACTATAAGTTCATTTGCCAAACAATGTGGAACACGGGAAATCGTCGTTTCGGCGACTGAGGCGCATTCCGAAGGCATTTGGCTGCATCATTCATTTACATCAATAAAAAGAACTTGAATTCCACAGCTTACTTAATTCAAGTCTGACGAATATCAATATTATATCGATTTTTTCTATTTCACGGTAATTTTTTACTTGTCGTTGCCATTTTGGATTCTGATACCTACATGTGTTATACGCGATCTGATTGGACGTCCAATTTGGCTCGTCCAATCAGATCGCGTATTTCAACCCAGGTATCAGACTGCAAAATGGCTACGACAATTAAAAAAATACCGTGAAACAGAAAAAATCGGAATGATAGTGATATTCGTTGGACTTGAATTAGATAAGCTGTGGAATTCTAGTTCTTTTTATTGATGTTAATGAATGATGCAGCGAAATCCCGCCGGAATGCGCCTCAGTAGCCGAAACGACGATTTCCCGTGTTCCGCATTGTTTGGCAAATAAACATATAGTAGGCTTTTCACCTTTCTATAACTATAATTTTGATAGTGGAAAATTTTTTTTTATATGATTTCATCGGTGGTTTTGTATTTGGTACCTTTTAGTAAGCCTTAGAGTGTTGAATTATTTTTTTTCAGGGTTGTAGTAGGGGTCCAGGGGCAGAGAGGGGTGGGGTGTCCAAACACTGATACTGCCACCTGTGGTTCCGTTCAGTCGGGTAATTTTTACAAAACCCACCGATCACATCTCAGTTGTTTCTCTCTTGCGGTGACTTCGAGATTAGATATCTACTTATTATTGGCGTCCGCGCCGAAGCGCGGCGCCTCTTATGGAATGAGAAAGGGCGACAGTAACTTCTCGCTTTTAAGTCGGTTATAATAGCCGATCATTCCGATTGGTATGAGGGTGTTTGATTATTTAAGATATGTAAAACAATGAATAGCGAACTGGAGAATTTCGCAATGCAAATATATTCAAATGAAATAATAATCTTTTCCGTCAATTAATATTGCTCTTCGGGATTTTATTAATCATTTTGTAGTACATGGTATGTTATTGTTTTACATGTATCCGAAAGCTGTAAATAGAATGATGACCTTAGTCTGAAAATCTGTTTATAGAGGAATGTACAATTCGCCGGTCTCCTATCGGTAATTCCCGGTCTCTCCCGGTCTATTTTGACCGTGATTTACTAGAGACCGGCGAATAGTATCACACGTTTATTGTCCGGTCTATCCCGGTTTTGGAGTAGATGTTTGATATCGTTACAGACAAATAAGTTTTTTTTCCAAAGTGAATGTTTGTCACTTAGTTGGGTTACAATAAAAAGTAGTATACTTAAAAAATCAGTATTAAAATGGCACATAAACACACAAAAAAGAAAACAATATTCATAAAATATGTAAAAAATAATATTAAAATAGATCTTACAATTATTGTATAATAAAACAATTATGCTCAACATGATCAACATGGTAATATAACCAGTGTCATATTTGTACTAAGTGTGAACAGATATCTTAAGAAGGGGTCTTCGCTAATAGCGATAACATAATAAGGGACAATACACAAGTGTGGTGTTGATCAGGCGTTACACAAATGGATTATAAATGTTTGTACATATCTGTTGCTATTATTAATCACGATATTACATGTAACATGCTAATATTAATGTATTATTCATATAACAAAATAGATTATTACAAAAAATATACAATTCAATTGCTGCATTTCTTGCTTGGACGCCCTTTGATGCTTTGCATCAATGCTTTTCTTGTACTCATTGTAATGACAGTTTATTTCCCTTATGAGTAATCAATTCCCTACCATTTGATACGAAGATTTTGAAATGGTGACAAAATTTTGAAGTTATGGAGTTCACATTTAGATAAGTGGGGCGAGTTGCATACTTTTACTAATTTTATATGTATCTCGTTCATATGTTTAGATCTAACTCGTTTGCTATATTCCCTTCATCATACAATTTGATTTCGTTTCATCAATGCCACTCTCTTCAAATGAAAAGAAAAGAAAAGAACTACATATACAAGTAAGAGAAAGAACAGCATAGTGCACAATACTTAATAAGTATAAAAAGCCTAGTATACAAATCAAACGGTGGCATACTTACGCTATGTCGCATTTTCGCTATTGCGCCGCAATATCCGAAAATGCAGTGACATGAAGGGGCGACAAAAAAACAGAACTTCACATAAAATATGTCATGTTTTTGCATAACATCTTCCGAGGCTTTGTTT